GAGCCACCCAGCTGACACCACGAGGAGGTTGTTCAGCAAGCCAGCCTTCGAAATAATTTGGAACACTGGTAGCCCGCGTTGGTTGCTCAAATTTGATCGTTTTTCCGAGCTTGGTAAAGGGATCGCATACGTTTCACCACCATGCGAGGTGGCATCTTCATTGCGGTAATAGGCAGTGTATAATGCTGCTTATTGAATCGTCAGTCCGTCATCCACGGGCAGGTGACTTTTGAAGGTGGCAATTTCGATTTGCACCACGTGATCCATGCGCATTTGCTTCCGCGGCTGAACTATGTCTTGCGATTCGCGGGAGATCTTTCTTTCTGAGTTGACGGTACACGGGGTCGATGTCGATGCGCATGTTGATCGAACTATTAGAGGAGTACCATGCTTCTAGGAATTCTCTTCCTTTCTGTGTTGTTGTTTGAGCTAAAGTCACCGTTTTGTTCCAATTGAAGCTAAGTCCCTCCTCATCCACATGCGCTGAGACAAGAGACGATGCACAATACTTTTTACAAGTCCTCTGATGTTCTTGTATTCTTGTGGACAGTTTCCTTCCTGTCTGTTCCACATAGTTCATTTCACAATGATTACAATTTATTTTATACACGATGTTTGTTCGGTCTTGTGCATTCCTAATGTCCTTTGGGTTTGACAGTATTCTTCTCAAAGTGGCGGTTGGTTTATGAGCGACCACAATGCAGTGTTGTTTGAGCAATCTGGCAGTCATTTCAGATATGTTCTTTATATACGGCAAAACGACCCTCTTGCTTGCATTTGCTATCGGCTCGGTGTTCATATGTTTGTGATTTAGACATCTGCGGATGAAACTGCGTGGGTATCCATTGCGCTCGAACGAATCGTATAGGTGTTTTTTCTTCCCGTCTGGCTTCCACTGTACTGCAGTGTGTTTCAATCCTGCGAAATAGTGTCCGCACGCAACTTATTTTGTGGCACTTTGGGTGGTTGCTATAGAAGTTCAAAATTTTGTCCGTATGTGTCCCTTTCCCGTGAACGGATGTTTGAAATTCACCATACTTTGTTCTTGTCACCAACACATCCAAGAATGGGAGCATGTTTTCTGCTTCTAGCTCCATTGTAAACTGAATCTCATCCACCGCATTGTTGGGCATTGGGTGTGCGATTGCTACTTCACTGCGTTTCAGTATTACAAATGTATTGTCGACATAGCGTACCCGTAACTTCGGGTTAATAGCTGGTAGTAGGTCTTCTTCCACAAACCTATGAACACCGAGCCAATAGCAAACGCAAGCAAGTGGGTCGTTTTGCCGTATATAAAGAACATATCTGAAATGACTGCCAGATTGCTCAAACAACACTGCATTGTGGTCGCTCACAAACCAACCGCCACTTTGAGAAGAATACTGTCAAACCCAAAGGACATTAGGAATGCACAAGACCGAACAAACGTCGTGTATAAAATAAATTGTAATCATTGTGAAATGAACTATGTGGAGCAGACAGGAAGGAAACTGTCCACAAGAATACAAGAACATCAGAGGACTTGTATAAAGCATTGTGCATCTTCTCTTGTCTCAGCGCATGTGGATGAGGAGGGACTTAGCTTCAGTTGGAACAAAACGGTGACTTTAGCTCAAACAACAACACAGAAAGGAAGAGAATTCCTAGAAGCATGGTACTCCTCTAATAGTTCGATCAACATGCGCATCGACATCGACCCCGTGTACCATCAACTCAGAAAGAAAGATCTCCGGCGAATCGCAAGACATAGTTCAGCCGCGGAAGCAAATGGGCAGAGATCACGTGGTGCAAATCGAAATTGCCACCTTCAAAAGTCACCTGCCCGTGGATGACGGACTGACGATTCAATAAGCAGCATTATACACTGCCTATTACCGCAATGAAGATGCCACCTCGCATGGTGGTGAAACGTATGCGATCCCTTTACCAAGCTCGGAAAAACGATCAAAAAGTTAGCCATCAAACGCCTTGCCAGCACGCATCAGCTGCCATGTTTTGCAATAGACGATGCACGTTATTGGTTTCGTAGTTGACTCTTCCCATTACGGTTTCCTGAATTCTCCGACATTTTCTTCCGTGTTTGTCGCTTCTGTTCTTCATTTTATTTGCCGTCACCATTTACTACAACTTGGTTGCATTGAAAATGTGTCCACCGAACATTGTTATTATCTGCGGCACTTGTTTTCTTCCTTTGCTTTTGTCAAGAAGTTTTCTTCGATTAATTTAAACTATCCACGGGATTTTCAAAGGCATTCTCAGAAAGTCCCTTTCATTGGCTCTAACAGAGTTTCTACACTTTTACATTTTACCATTGTAGCTACCAACAGATGTTATAAGTATGCTTACCAAATGTCTTATAATCTCACAGTCATTCAAAAATACATCTAGTGCCACCAATCATTCATACCATCTACGTGTTTGGCCTCGTCGAATGATGTTATTTGTTGCCCATGATGTAACTGGAAGAAAATAAAACATAAGCACTATACAACAATAACATATTCACAATTTACATAGACACACTTCAGTAATGAGCTCTGCTGCAAAGAGGAATACCTGTCATTTGGATTTATCGAATCACCCCCAAGACCCCACTCTACCTACGTGTTTAATATGCCAGAGCAGTCTTCCAAATGAAAGTATGCGACCGAGTAAACTGAAAAATCATTTGGAAAGTGTTCATAAGGTGGAAAGCGAAATGTCTGGGGATTTTCGCAGAAATCTGTACGGTGGTTCCGAAAACAGCAACTTTAAAGACAATGGTTTCTGACAGAGCGAACAAAGGCATATAGTCTTAGCTCGTGTTAGAAAATCAGCGAGTTGATTGCTAAAATTTGCAGTCCACCCATTGTTGGAGAAAATACTATTTTGTCTCCAGTATCAGTAATACTGTCGGACCTGGTGCATATGAATCCATATGAAGCAGTCCAAGCCGTTCCACCCAGAAATTCCACTATGAATGAGATGGATTAGGATATAGAAAGCACCTTAGTTACTTTACTACAATCCAGAAGATTTTCGTTACACGTTCATGAATCTACTTTCTTTGATAACGACGCTCTCATGGCATATGTCCGATTCTTCACTGATAATAAGCGAGTGGAAGAGATGAGGTTTGCTAGTGGAATTAAAACTAATACAAAGGGCCAATGTCTCAGGTAGTCAATAGCTATCTGACTGAAAGAATTTATTGCCGATCTAGAAAATGTTCCCTCTACTGTTCATACACTGCATCATTCATCGAGAGCACCTAGTGGATAAGAACTTGTGAGGGCGATTAAACGATTGTCAACTGTTATATTAGTAGTTAACAATATTAACTCGCACTCTCTTCAACATTGTGTTTTCCAGCATTTGTGTATGGAGAACAGTGAAGAGTTCCAGGTTCTCCTGTTACACGTCGAATTTAGATGGCTCTCTAAGGGCAACTGCCTTCAGCATTTGTTACACTCTGGGGCAACAACATCACATTCCTGTGTGAAACTGATTATGAATACCTGTTAACATCTAAACCAGCTGTGTTTTATCTAGCTGATGTTTTTAAAAAAACCAATTTATTAGACAAAACTCTTCAAGACAAGTTGAGTAATCTCATCTCGACCAAAGAAGCCGGTATCGCTTTTCTCAAAAAGCTGGAACTGTATGCTCGAAACATCAGACCTTGAGAAGTTTCAGTTTCTTATATTTGCTACAGTCACGGAAAAGCTGAATGCTGAAGACTTGATTGTTTATGCCAGTCATTTACAACAACTAGAAAGGAAAGAAATCAGGGTTAATGACTTGATTGAATGGAAGTACTGATTTAGATTTTAGCTTCATTTGATGTACAGCCCTGCGATTTTGAAGTTAAAATCCAGGAAACTCTCATGGAGCTTCACACCAGCGACATCCAAATTCACCACTATAAAAAGAATTTTTGGATAACTACTGATGCCCCTAACAGACATCCCAGACTGTAAGAAATAGTTGAAATATAGTTCTTTGTTTTCCCATTAACCTTCATGGTTGAATGTGGATTCAGAAGAGCGGTTCCCCTATCAGAAAGTGCAAACAGATTGCACGTCACCGAAAGAAGAAATATTCGAGTCTCACGGTCAAGCTAGCTTGCTCAAAGACATTAGGCCAAAAGCTCACGTTAATATCTCGACAAACATTGTTGAGAGGATTACACCGCCTCATTCATGACATGCGTTACAGTTAAATGCCAAGATAATTAAACACAATTGGCATTATTAATGATGGCCTTTTGTAATCACAAACAAGCGGCTTGATGTTATCGTACGATAAATGTTATCTTGAGGCTGTGCAACTTAAAAAAATGAGGTTTTCAAGGGAAAAAGCAATTATGACAACATTAAAAATTTGGCCATCATAAATAGTATACCAATATGACAACTGGAAATCACAGATTTGCGTCTGTTGGGCTTTGCGAATTGCTCAGATTCTAGTGATCAATAGTGGGTCACGCTTGGATAAAGCTTGAGAATGCCTGGTCTAAACCATCCACCAGAACGATACAACATGCAGCGCATACCCCAATATTTCACCTCTGCATGTTACCCATGCCAAGCTGTGGTGCTTCTCTACCGGGGCACCGGCGTCGAGCTCCGTTCTGTCATCGTCAACACAAATTAGAATCGATCCTTTAAAATTAGACAGCTGAACGAACATGGAAATTCATGCTAAAGCTGTGCCGTCTTAAAATCGCAGCTCTTCAACGGGGAACCTATCACTACCTTTTACCGCTCATCTTTAGTTTAGGGCGTAGACACGCGTACACTTCGGTACCGAACAGTGGAGGCCAGTTGATTTTCAGTCGCTGGTTTGATGTAATGCAGGTTTGTTTACCGCTTCATACATGCACTCGTCAATGCGAGAGATCCACGGAATTTTAGCCAGTTATTCACCCTGTCAGTAACCAGTTAACTTTGAAACCTCATGAAATAGTTCATTCATCGATGCCGTACATGACTGAGCGTCCTGTTTTTTTGTTCCAGAGCAGAGAGATCACCCATGCGAATATTGTGGAAAATCATTCTTTTTGAGATGCTACGTTCGAAGACATGTAGAAGCTGTTCACTTGAGTAAGTTCCACACCGTCCGTCTATCATTTCTTCCAATAACACCTGCATGCACGACTTTGGATCCACGGTTGTTTGTACTTAGTTACTACTCGTTGTTAATTCCATGGGTTTGTTGTATTTGGCTTGAAGGGATGGGTACAGCGATGGTCAGCCGTTTGTGGTGGCCACTATAATCTTGCAGCCACAGACCACTGAGTTGTAAAAGTCAGCTGACTATACTTTGGCAATCGTGAGATGAGGCTTTGCATAATGCAGTTATCTATGATTTCTCTCTACCTGGATTTTTCCAAGGCTTTCGATCGTCTAGACCATCGGATACTACTATCCAAGCTGCAGCATTACGGGAACGGCAACCCTCTTCTAAGCTGGATTGCCAACTTTCTACTTCAACGACAATTAGTGGTCAGAGTTCAGAGCTCTTTATCGAGCCCCATACAAGTCGAGTGTGGTGTGGCGCAAGGCTCTGTTCTAGGTCCACGTTTGTTTTTGGTGTTTGTTCATGATCTTGCACAGGGAATCGCTTCAAACTTCCTAATGTTTGCCGACGATATCAAGATCTGGCGCAGCATGCAGGCGAACGCCGACCAACATGTGCTTCAGAGTGACCCAGATACGGTGTATCCATGGTCGACCCAAATCTTATTGCATTTCAGCGTCAATAAATGCAAGGTGCTTTCCATCCGACATCAGGGCAGCTACCCATACCGGCTCGGAACGAATATACTACAACAATCAACTTTCGAACGTGACTTGGGTGTCCTGGTTCAAGATGACTTGGGTTGCTCCAGGCAATCCGAAAAGGCCTCGAAGACCGGGAACCAACACGTCGGGCTGTTGAGGCGGGCGTTTGGACAAATAAACAGCTCCATATTTCGACAAATGCTCAGTTCGTATGTTCTTCCCCATGTCGAATACGCAATTCAAGCCTGGCATCCATGGCTGAAACACGACCTTAATGCACTGGACCAGCCACAACGCCGGGCATCTAAGAACGTAATTGGAATGCGCAACCTTTCCTACCAGGAGAGGCTGCAACGATTGGGGGTATTCAGTGGAAGCTATCGCAGACTACGAGGCGACCTGATTTTTGGTATACTTGATTCTGCAAGACCCATATCATATGTGCCACCCTTTACTGCAACTCAGCAGCAATACAAACCTGAGGGGCCACTCATTAAAACTCGCAGAACAATGCAGTCGTCTGGAGTGCCGCAGAAATTTCTTTTCCATTCGTGTCTGTCACCCGTGAAATGCTCTGCCAGAATCGGTCGTCTCTGCACCGACACTAACAGTAATTAAAAGACGCTTGGACGATGCACTCATCCACTTACACTTTGTCACTTAACACTACGTCTCCATCCTACACCTGGAGTATACCATGGAAATATTTGTTGTTAACTGTGTGTGCTGTGAATCTAAGAGGATCGCAGGACTACAGCGAAGCAAACGATAAGTCCTCATTTTCATATTTCAATTATTAACGATTTTACTATCCTTATCATCATTACTGTTATGTTGATATCCCCACCAACTATCCAACGGGACTTGTAAAGCAACGCTTCTTAACCCGTATAAATTAATTGTTCATTGTCAGTCCTCGGTGACAGAAAGGTTGTTGAATTGTGACATTTAATGCCACCGAGCTTCTCGTGCTTCGCATATCTAGCCGGCACATTTTGTCAATCTGCGCAGATTCATTGCGAATGGTACTTCATTGCATACGACATCCGAACGCAAACTCGGGAGCGTTGATTCACCTCTGTTTCATTATGTTTATCGGGCTCTTATGTGGATCTTACCTATCGTTAGTACTTTCGAAGGTTATAACACCGAATGCATTCGACACGATGAGACAGCTATTCCTTCCTGCGTCATAAACATGACGCTGAAGACACTCATTACTCCCACTGTGTTTCTACATGATATAAGCGAAGCTGCGAATGCACCGTTGGTCGAATGCAAATGGGTTCTTCATGTTTGTCAATTTTTATGGGCCAGGTTTCACAATCGTACAGTAACGTTGAACTGCACACTCTATTTTTCAGGTCGAGCGTAACGTCACAGCTACGCCACATGTGGTGAAGCTTGGCAGAACCGGTTCGAGCTTCAGTTGTACGGCTCGTGTTCTCATCTTTCATTCTACCTACTCTGAAAGGACTGCTCAGGTTGTTGAATCTGAACTATTTCTGGCTTACGGAGGTCGTCACTATCGGTGGCGGTGCTGCGACTATTGACGTTATGTGTACATGGGCTAATGCAAGCTTTACTTTATCTCAACCCAACGAGCTCTTCAGGCGTCTTATTTTCTCTTGCTAGCCAGTCTTTGGAGGGTGAAAGAAGCAAGGGACTTAGAGACGATGGCGATCAGACTGACAAATATGACCGCCGCATTGCGGACTTGAGACCCACTTGAGGATCTCGACAATAACGAAGCTGCTGCAGTCAGGTGGAACAGTTTCACTATTGACTCATGTCATCCGTTCACAGATCTACCGAATTTGGGGAGAGCGGCGCTTCGCTGCCGCGCGACCACCACCAGTCTCGCGCGGGCTGAGTATACCGCGAGGACGCCCACCCTTACGCGGATTCGAACCGGTGACCTTATGGTTGCAGACCAAACCCGCAGACCACCCGGCCACCGGCCGAGACGATTATCTTGTCCAGCGGCCTTATTTATTTTCAGCAGCTTCTGAGCGTGAGGCGAATAAAAGGGATAGCTGAGGAAGCAGGAGTATCCTGACGGGCGATAAATTTGGCGATTCTGGTCGATTAAACTACTTTTCATAGGGGCTACATTTTGACAGCTGTTCATACACAAAGTTACCTGCTGCGCATTTTCTGTACGAGGCTGGTTATGCAGTTAGCCTTCATCTGCGATAAAAGATGAGTCTACCAGAATCCGCGGTCTATCTTCAGGCTGGCAAACAATGTTACCTTAAAATCCTTGCGATTCTCGTTGTGTTTATTTCCAGGCGGAACGTGTGGACCAGCATTCAGGAGTCCTGGATACTGCGTACATACCTAATGACTAGGTTAGTGCTGAGATGGCCTGCTAATGACAGCGTTCTTTGACGCACGTTCACAACACCTGGCTAAGCCTAGCCGGTTGATGAATGTCTGTGTGTTCACAACTTGGTCGCTGACGTCCGTCGAGATGCACTTACAGTTGTGCTCGTATATGTCAATTATCCAAGTCTATGCTTTTGCTGTAAGTCGATCGGCAATTTTGGACGCAGCCTCTCTAGCGCTAACTACTTGCTATGTAATCGGTTTATGTGCGTAGCTGGTTCGAAGCTTGTGCGCGCCATGGCACCTCCGTATTTTTCAGTTGCTCATTTGTTCGCCGAGCTGGGGAATTTGTTTGCGAACGTTTCACCGCCATGCGAGACAACATCATCAGTGCGTCGAGATGTGGAGTGTAATCTCGCTGATTGAATTGTCGATCCGTGCTCGGCGTGCAGGTGACTTTTCGAACGTGACGGCTTCGATCTGTGTCCCGTGATCTCTACCCATTTCCCCGTGGTGGAGGTCGTCGCTCGGGTTGTTCATATTCAAGTGGCGTCTCATAATTTCTCTAAGTTCTCTCCGTCCGAGGGGTTGGTAAACTGGGTCAATTTCGATATGCATGTTGATCGAGTCTTTTGTTGAGAACCACGCTTTCAGAAACTTCCTTGCTCTCCTTGTTTCACCTCGTGCCAGGACTTCTGTCTTGGCCCAATCAAAGCTGTGTTCTTTTTCATCCACCTGTGCTGAGACTAGCGATGATGCATAGTGTCTTGCATACTCTTTTGTGTTCTTGTAATCGTGTTGATAATTTTCTACCTGTTTGACCAACATAGTCCTTTTCGCAATGTCTGCAACTTAGTCTATATACAACATTACTTTGCTCATGAGCTTCCAGTTTCCCTTTCGGTTTCGACAGAATTTTCTTCAATGTAGCAGTTGGTTTGTGTGCTACCATTAGGTGATGTTGTTTGTATAGTCTTGCTGCCATTTCGGATATATTCTTCATATAAGGTAAAACAACGCGTCTCTCCCTCGTTGGTGTAGACTGTCTGTTTGATTTGTTTTCAGACATCTTCGGATGAAGCTTCGCAGGTATCCGTTGAGTTGGAAAAATTTTAATGGACGCTTCTCTTCTTTTTGCTTTGCCTCAGCGGTACTGCAGTGTGTCTGCACTCTACCATATAGTGTCCGCACACGGCTTACTTTGTGGCATTTCGGGTGGTTACTGTTAAAGTTCAGAATTTGGTCTGTATGTGTCCATTTTCTGTAAACTGATGTTTGCAGCCTCCTTCCATGGTTCTGGTTCCTAATACATCCAGGAAAGGCAGCTGGTTTTCCTTCTCCATTTCCATCGTAAACCGGATGTCTTCAATGGCGTTATTCAATAGCTGCTGTGCGACCTTAACTTGATTGCGTTTGATGATCACAAAAGTGTCGTCAGCATGTTGGACCCACAGTTTCCGTCGTTAGTGCTGTCGAGAAATAAAGGAACCTCTTCACACGGGTTTAGGGACTTCCCACCGTTATCATTTCGTGTGGTTGCCTCGTGTTCGTCACCCAAATGCGGTTTGTCAGTGGATATTTTTTTGACTTGCTTACAGTGCAGTATCCGGATTTTGTCGATAACGAACGAGCTTATTTAGTTGCATATAGGAGGCTTTTTTACAGAATTTGTGCAACCGTTTTTGAGGATGTAGGCAGCAATTCGAAACAAACACCATTTGACCTCGCGCGGCTTTGAATGAGCCACACAATTTGACTGCGTACATCGGGCTACTGGCTGAGATCCAAGTCTGCTAGAGTAGATTCTACACCAGGGACTTATAACCGCACACGGGTTTGGCCGGCTTTCGAAGCCGCATCATCTCAGGACAAACGCCTGAGAAAGTTTCACCAATGTCACCTGAAGTGGATCGTAGAGTGTGCAGTGGTCGAGTTCTGCAGGCGCTTTACAGATAAGCAAGAGGTATTGATCGATAATGTTTCCAGTCTCCTTTGCTTCCTAACTCACCGTTGCTTTTCACGTGCCATGGTATATTGGCTTATTAACGGAGAGAGGACAACTGCTGTCTTGACGTTGTGTGTGGATCACTTGGTATTGAGTTGGCGTGGTGCCAGTTGGAGGTATGTACGTTAGGTGGAAAGGACACTTCCGTGAAACATGCGTTTTAGGTTCTAAACAGGGACCTAACGCCACACCATTTTATCTCCCTTTGCATAACTCTCCACCTGCATTACAGTTGGTGCATTGTTGAGCCATCTGAGGTTCTGTGCAGTTTGGGGCCAAGTGCGCTCTTCCACATGGTATTTCCCACTCGTTTGTTTGCCTTAGTTACGAGAACACTATCAGGTACATCCGAACAAGCGCGTATTCTACGCAGCTGTGTTACTTGATGGTGCGATTACGATTCTCAGCGTAGCATACTGGTTGCCAATCGATTCCGGGGCACTTCTTTTCAGTCCTCGCCTTCTCTTTATTACTTTGACTCTTGTTAACATAGCTTTATTTACTATTGCAGAGGAAAGGCCCCACAGATGCGAGCATTGCGATGGATGCTTTTCTCGGCGAAGTATGTTAAGAAGGCACATTGAATCAGTGCATTTAAGTGAGTATTTGCTTTATGATATTAGATATTTCCCATTATTCCAAGTGTGCTCACAGTTATTCTGTTGAATTTCACCTGACTCACTGTACCTCATGGTGCTACGCGTTGTATGTGACGTGGTTTATGTGGTCATATGTGCGCGAAGATTGGCTTTCGTTCTCCCTCATGTTAGTGACACCGGAAAGCTAAACTAATCACTGAGCAAGCAAGTCATGGTGCTACACACTGATGATACCACTTCAGCTGATCTCGAGTCCTTTGAATTATGAGTGTTAAGCTCGGCTAGCACTATTTCGCGTGAACGTTGAATCTTCGGTCACAGTGGTTCGAGTAGTTTTGCTCTTCAGCCATGGTCCATGTGGAATTTCCTGCGCATTATTGGTTCCATGAGCCTCTGCTTTTCATGGGCTGCGCACACTCGACCGCCATTGAGCCCCGCGAGCAGTGCTTAACTGTACGTTTCTCCTGAGTTCCACACGACAAGTAGCGTTCGCCAGGATTGTCCTATATCTTTCCTTTAACTTTGTTATTGAAATGATCATGTGTGACTCTGTTCTTTCAAAATCCATCGGAATGGAAGTTCCACCAAGTGACCGACTGACAAACCTAGGGTATGCGGACGACATAGCTCTCCTTGGGTCTAATGCAATGGCTATGTAAACACTATAGGATAGACTGTTGCCTAGCGTTGCACGCTTCAGCCTGTGTTTTGCACATTCGAAGTGCAAAAAACTGTTGCAGGACTGTACCGACGCAATTCCGGTTTTAACTATCCACGAACAGCTGCTGCAAGTGGTGGATCCGTTCACTTACCTTTGGTAGCTGTGTCACCACTGGTGTTCACATCACTGAAGAGGTTACTTCCCCTATCAGCAAGACTCGTGTGACCATCCAGAGATTCAACCGTCTATGGAGACGGCGGTGTATCAGCCTGTCAGTGAAAGGCACGGTGTGTAACGCTGTGGTAAAGCCGATTTTTCTGTATGGATCAGAGACGATAAACGCTTGTCTGTGTTGGACCACCGGTGTTTACGAAATATTGCGCACGTCTGCTTGATACACCGAGCGTACGATGCTGAGGTCCGCCGGTTGTTTTTAGCAAGAAACGTTCTGGTTCTTCATTCGAGTGTTTGCTGAATCTTAATCGCTTATGTTGTCTAAGCCATGCGCTCCATATGTCGGTTGACCGGCTTCCTCAGCGTGCATTATGCTCCTGTGCTGCACCAAATTTAGCGAAACAACGAAGTGGCCACTCCATCACGTGACACGAAGGCATGAAGAAACTGACTGCGAGATTCGGTCAGGCTGGTGCGTGCCGTCTTCGTCGTTTGGGGTCTGGGGACGGTCCACACCAATCGTTGGAGACCGTATCATCTATGGATCAGCCATGCAGTCAGTGGCGTTCCTGCATTCGGTTTTTTCATCTGGTTGTTAATTTTCATTCTGTTCTGATCATTTTAATTCATTTCCTTTTTGCCTCCATTTTCTCGACATTCTCTTTACATCCGATCCTGCTGTTTTCCTAGTGTTGTTTATTGTTTTTCTTGAGATTTGAGTCGTGGCAACTTGATCCACCGGACTTCAGTGTTCGGATCATAGTTGTCCGACTGAACAGAACTAGTGAGTTCTCGTAATAATCATTGTCACTGAGGAGTGCCCAGTTGGTGTCTGTGGAACTCGAGACGGCAGATAACAACATTGACAGTAAGGCAAGCTCGGGCGGAGTCTTGGCGTTCCGAGTGGACTGCGCAGATTTAGTGGCCCGTATTATGACATCGTCCGCTTCCATCACAACTTGCATCGTCTCTGCCGAATTCGGAAGTCTGAACTACGTTGTTAAATGTGTGCATCAGTTGCTCGCCAACTGTTGGTCTGATGAGCTTAATCTGCTAATTCACAACACATTATCGGCCATAATCTCTCCTGTCGTGACTGACCTGTTCAACATATCACTGTCCGAAGTTTCATTGTTATTTGTTTGAGTATGCCGGTGGCGAATTCTGTTAGGGAGCGGACAACTGCCGGCCGAGGTGTTTGATACGTATTTGTGCAAGGTAGCCGCGATTGCTACAGTTACTCAAGCCTCTTGCCCATCAAGGGACCCTGCCGCTCCTCCGCAAACCTCGCTTCTCTGCTTCAAAGGGTTCCTGTGATGCATTCTTGCACTGTCAACCAAATCAAATACAAGTACACATGTAGCGTTACATTAAAGACTTTATTTAACATGTCTGCCCTAACCTACCTACCATATCCACGTAAACTCACTTTGCAACTAGTTAACTTGTTACACTTTCCAGTTTTTGTACCATCACGATCTTGCATATGCAAACATATCTCGCACTATCGGGAATTACTAATTTATTTTTTATTTTTTATTAGCTTGTTCTTTTATGCATACTTTTGATCACATCTCGACGGAGTGGTGCAGAGTTATCTTCTGATTGCTCCCGTAATACGGTGCTCAGTGTTGTTTATGTGGTACTGCCGGCACACACGAGCAATCTTTCGCACAAAAGCGGTTGTCTGAAACTAGCAATGGTTTCAACGCTTTAGGCACACCATAAGCTACCTCCTCTAATATGGCGCCTGTGAAGTATTTGGTAACTCGACGACTGCATTGACACATTTTAATGTGAGTTTAACAATGCTGGAATTTCCTCTTCAACACCATCTGCTCTGCAACTCACTGGATAAGCAAATCTATTAACTTACTCAAATTATTCGCCTACTTCAGTGAATGCAGGCACAGGTATCAGCTTTTTCCGAAGCAGGACATTGCCCTTATGCCGGTTAAACTGCGGACCACATATAGTTTCTTTTATACCTGAGAAGTCAGCAGATTTTCTGATAATAGGGTGATATCGTCTACCTAATCAAAGTCGTCGACTTTTTCTCTTGGCAGTGCTTAATGGGCATGGTGAGCTAGGACCACGTTGGCGTACAGTGTTGATACAGCAGGCGAAAAAACATCCCAACATATGCCATTACTTTACCGTGCATGTGACCATAAATTTCTCTCTGCATTACGACAGAGTAATCTTATAAGTCTGTTTGGCAAGCCGTTTCACAGTGCATTTTTGTTTACTCAGTTGAATGCGGTTGGAATATTCGAGAACACCATGATTTTTGTTCACCGGTGAATGCGACGGTATTTGTCAGTCTTGCCAGAGTGAAGATACAGTAAATGTGACCCGTTAACAAACCCTCCTAGACGGCTTTTAGCTAATGATGCGAGATGAACACCTATATACCTGCGGAATTCCAGAATAGTTGGCGCACTCCTGAATGGAGTAATTGTTATGTGGCAGGCAACTGTGTGCTAACTAACCGCACCTGCTGGTGGTTATTGGTTCTGCGGTAATTCAAGGCTCGGATTACTGTGCTTCAGAGCTGTGATGGAAGTATCTTTTGATATCGCTCTGTGTGTAGACATTTACGGTTTCAGGCCGTGGTGCTTTTCTATCGGTACACCGGCGTCGAGATCCGTTCAGTCTTCATCAGTACGACTTAGAATCGATCCTTCAAAATTGGACAGTTGAACGAACGGGGAAATTCATGCTGAAGCTGTGATTTCCTAATATCTCAGCTCTTCAACGTGGAATCTATCACTTTCTTTAACCGCCCATCTTTTTGCTATCCCGGGAGTTTATTAGGCTTCTATTTTTAGGCGTAGACATGCGTATTGTCTAAGAAACAGTGTGGACTAGCTGACTTTCAGTCACTGTCTTGATCTAATGCATCTTTGTTTAACGATTTATACGTGCATTCGTCAATGCGAGATAATTAGGGAATTTTAGACAGATATTCACCCTGTCATTACCCAGTCAACTTCGAAAAGTCATGAAATAGTTCATTCCTCGATGCTGTACGTTTCTGTGAACCTCCTCTTTTGTTCCAGAGCAGAGAGATCACACATGCGAATACTGTGGAAAATCATTTGTCGAATTGTGCCACCTTCGAGCACACGTAGAAGCTGCTCACTTGAGTAAGCTCTACACCGTCCGTCTATCATTTCTTCCAATAACACATCCTGCGTGTACGACTTTGTATCCACGCTTGTTTGTACTTAATGACTACTCGTTGTTAATTCCATGGGTTTGTTGTAGTTGGCGTGAAGGGATGGGTACAGCAATGGTCAGTCGTTTGTGGTGGCCAGTTTAATATCGCAGCCACAATCTACTGAGTTGTGGAAGTCAGTTGACTATTCAGTTACGGTGGTGAGATGAGGGAGGGCAGAATGCAGTTATCTGTGGTTTCGTTTAGGCCTTAGTAGCAGCGGGTTTGTTGTATCTTGACTTCTTACGTTGCTGAGGTTCTCGTGCTTCGCATATCATGCTGACGCATTTTGTCAACCTGCGCAGATTGAATGCGAATGGCAATTCATCGCATATGATTTCAGATCACACACCTTGGGGCTTAGCTTCTTCCCTATTTCATTATGTTTATCAGGCTCTAACGTGGATCTTCCCTATCGTTAGTACTTTCGAAGGTTATAACGCCTCATACTTTCAACCTGGTGAGTTTTCTGTGCTATAAACATAACCACAAAGACGCTCATTGCTCCCACGGTGTTTTGGCCGGAGGTAAGCGAAGCTGCAAAGGCACCGGTGGTCGAACGCAACTGCGCTCTTCACGTTTGTCGCTTTTATTAGCTAGGTTCTACAACCGCACAGTAGGATCTCATTGTACACTGTATCCTCACGGGATGTGGGGTCTGTGTGTGCTGCAGCCCACACCACCCATGGTCCCTCTGTAGGGGCAGGTGTTCTAATGGAGGCCACGATCGGCCGGTGGCCGCGTGGTCTGCGGGCCTGCTTTGTAACCGTAAGGTCCCTGTATCGAATTCGAGTCCGACCGGGCCTCTTCGTGGTATATTTAGCCCTCTCGCGACTGGTGGTGCTCTAGCGTCAGCTGTGCGCCCTTGCGTAGTGTAACTGACGCATTATTTTTCTTTTACAGTGACAAGCAAATCCGCACACGGATGCGCCACACTATATATACATATATATATATATATATATATATATATATGTATATATGTATATATATATATATATATATATGTATATAGAGGAATGTCACAGCGACGCCACATGTAGCGAACATTGGCAGAGGCGGTTCGAGCTTTGGCTATGCTGTTTGTGATCTCATCTTTCTTTGTAATTAGGGAGTTAATGAGCAAACGTGATAGTCGACGTCCGTCACACACTGTCGGATTTATTGAAGGGTGACGATAGATTGCCATAGACCTACACTCTGCTCGCTCTACACGCGTAAATTTTGTAGCCTTTGGTTTGCTTGCGTTGTTTACCAGAACAACATCAGATACAACCGACCGGTGGCTTAATTTACGCAACTGGTCTTGCAATTTTCAGCGTATCACTCTGGTTAGCAACCGACTCGGGAGCACTTCGTTTACGTCGTCGCCTTTTCTTTACTTCTTCTACTGTCATCAACACAGCTTTATTTACTATTGCAGAAAAACATTCTCACAGATGCGAACATTGTGACAGATTCTTCTCTCAGAGCGGTGTATTAAGAAGACACCTCGAAACAGTGCATTTAAGTGAGTGTTTTTTTCATAGTGTTAGATGTTTTCCATTATTTCAAGTGTGCTCAAAGTTATTCTGCTGAGCTTCACATTGTACTACGCGTTGTTTGGGACGTGGTTTATGATCATATTATCACCCACATTGGTTTCCGTTCTCTCTCGGGTTTACGACTTCAGATAAGTAAGTTGCTCACTGACGACGGGAGTCAGAGTGCTACACCCTGATAATGCCACGGTGTAAGCGAAGCTGCGATGGCACCGTTGGTCGGACGCAACTAGTCTCTTCACGTTTTTGATTTTATAAGCCCTGTTTCACAACCGTACAGTATGGTTGTATTGTACACTGGATCCTCAAGGAAGAGTGATGTCACAGCTACGCCACATATGGCGAAGATTGACAGAACTGGTTCGAGCTTTGGTTATACGGCTCGTGATCTCTTCTTTTTTTCCACCTGAGCTGAGACAGCTACCCATGTTGTTGTATCTGAACGACTTCTGGCTGACATGGGGTCACCAATTTTGGTGGCGGTGTTACGACGATTGACGTTATATGTAGATGTGGTAATGCATCCTTCATTTCGACTAAACCCAACGTGCTCTTCAGGAATCTGATTATCTCGTTTGCCAGCCAGTCTATGGAGAGCGACAGAGGCAAGGGACTTAGAGACGATGGCGACCACACTGACAACTTTATGACCGTCGCATTTCGAACTTGAGACGCACTTGTTGATCTGGACTGTAACGGCGCTGCTTTAGTCAGGTGCGACGGTTTCACTAATGAATCATGTAATCCGTTAACAGGAGAAAGTGCCGAATTTGAACAGATCCGGAGAATGATCATATGGTCCAGTGGCCTTATTCATTTTCACCTGTTCAATCTAACGATCAGCTTCTGAGCGAGTTGGCGGATAAAATGAATTGCTCAGGAAGCGGGAGTATCCTGACTGGCGATAATACTGACAATTCTGGTCGATTAAACTACTTTTCATAGTGGCCACATCTTGACAGCTTGTGCATAGACTTTCCACACACAAAATTTCCTGCTGCGTATTTTTTGTACCTGGCTGGCTGTAAAGTTTGTTTCCACCTGCAACGAAAATGAGTCTACCAGAATTGGTGGTCTCTTTCAAGGCTAGCAAGCAATGTTACCCTGAAATCTTTGTTATTCTGGTTGGGTTCACTTCCTGGCGGAACGTGTCGACCAGCATTTAGGACTTCAAGATACTTCGTAAAAACCCAATGACCAGGTTTGCACTGAGGTGTACTGTCCATGCCAGCGTTCTTTGATACACGTTCAGAACCCCTGGCTAAGCCTAGCGCGGACGTTTGCTGAAGTGCACTTGCAGATGAGCTCCTGTTCGTGGCTGGTTCGAAGCTACTGGGCGCCATGTCAGCTACTTATGTTTGCTGTTTCAGATACCAATGCTGTCGAGATAAAAGGACTTCTTCGCACGTGTTTAGCGACTGCTCACCATAATCATTCCTGATAGCTGGCCAGTGTTGGTCACCTAGATGCAGCTTCTTTGCGGACATTTTTTCAACTTGAATCTTCATGTCACTAGCCTACACTACAGTATCCGGTAATTGTCGATAACGAAGGAACTCGTTTAGTTGGGTATGGGGGCATCTTGTATAGAAATGGTGCAACATTTTTAAGGATGTATTCATGAATTAGAAACCTGCACCGTTTGACCTCGCACGACTTTGAATTAGTCATGCATTCTGACCGCGTACATCCGGCTACTAGCTAGTATCCAAGTCTACTGGAGTAGATCACACCCAAACGGCCTAACGCCATATTATCTCCCTTCGCATAACTTTCCACCTGCATCACGGTTGGTGCATTATTGAGCCATCGGACGTTCGGCACTGTTTGTAGCCAGGTGCACTCTTCGTGCTCATTGTATATCCCAGTTGAATTCACCGCATGACCTTTGCTTGTCTTGGTTAGCAGAACACCATCAGATACATCCGAACAACCACTTACTCTATTTAGCTTGTCTTATTTGATAGTGGGATTGCCATTCTCAGGGTACCACACTGGTTATCAATCGATTTTGGAACGATACGTTTAAATCGTCTTTCTTGGTTTTTTAACTTTTGTTAACATAACTATATTTACTATTGTAGAGAAAAAGCCCCACAGATGCGAGCATTGTGACAGATGCTTTTCTCAGAGGAGTGTGTTAAGAAGGCACACTGCATCAGTGCATTTAAGTGAGTATTCGTTTTATGGTGTTATATGTTTTCCATTATTCTAGGTGTGCTCACAGTTATTCTGCTGAATTTCATCTGACTCTCTGTACTACATGGGGTTACGCGTTGTATGTGACGTGGTTTATGTGGTCATGTTTGCGCCCACATTGGCTTTCTTTCCCCCTCGTGTTATGGACACCAGAAAATTAAACTAATCACTGAGCGAACGTGTCAAGGTGTTACACACTGATGATACCACTTCAGTTGATCTCGAGTTCTTTGAATCACGATTGTCATGCTTTGCAAACACATGTACGCGTTAACAGTGACTCTTTGCTCACGATGTTTTGAGTACTTTCGATCCGTGTTGAATTTCTTGCGCGCTATTCGTTCTACCGTTTTCTGCTTTTTATGGGTTAGGCACACCCGGTCATCTGCGGTTTCATCCCGAGCGAGCACATGTAGTGTCTTTCACTGTTGGTGCTATAGTTGACGCTCATGTTAGTTCGATGGGTGTGCCTCAGTGTATCTCTACGGAGCGATGGCGGGATCAGAATGCTATATGGTGTTCGCGGCTCGTCATTTGCAGGAGAAATGTCGAAAGAAACATTAGCCACTTTACTCGCTGTTCGTTGACTTCACGAAGCGTTCCATACATTGAACCGCGATGCATTGTAGCTGGTGTTGGGTAAGGATGGTTGTCCGTGTAAATTTGTTAGTTTACTTGAATGTCTGCACCGTGGTATGCGGGCGAGAATGCAGCTGTATGGAAGAACCTCGGATTACTGATGTTGTCTCAGCTGTGAAGCCCCTACCCTGTTTAATATTTACCTCCGTTCTATGATATCCTGTGCTTCTGATACTGCTTGTGATTACGCTGTCCGTGTGGAGCCCCTTGTTGATTGTGGTTTGCTGATCATCCGTCGTTTCGGTAGAGAACCCTAACCTGTGAGACAACCATCATCTAGATTTACTAGTTGCGTTATCGCCGGACGTTGGAGCACTCTCTGTTCGCTTCTTTTGGTTACAACACTCTACGTCCTCATGTTGCGAGTTTATTCAGCAGAGGTTAACGAGAAAAATATGTGGATGTGTTCTTACCTGGAATACTCGACATATGATGTTCAACCGCAGTATTTATGATCTAGTCGTAGACTGAAGGTTTCGGGTTAGACATCTGGGGCTACCAGATTAAACGGACGTATGAGAACTGTCGGTTCAGCATTTGTTGCTTCTACCCATCTGGTGTCTTGTTTTGTGAAGAGTTGCATAGTTTAACAAGCAAATGTGCGATACTAATTTGACCTTCAGATAGTCTCGATATCCGCTTTCATGGGCCTGTTATGTCCTCCTTTTGATACAATTGGCTAGAAACATCAATGAGTAACGGAGCCGCGTAGACTGACTTCTGTGCATTCTTTGTTCAGTGAACGAATCCGTGTGATTCGACTTGCCTTGATTCCGTTGATCCACAACTGGGTGTGTCTTTATGCGTACCTTTGTAGTGCAAACGCTTGACTGTTTACTGTGTCATATGACATTGTGGTTGTTTATTTTTTTGTAATTGCTGCCTTTTTTGTGACTGATGAAAATGCACGAAATGGCGTCATCTCACAAAAAATCTTTCCTTATTCTCCTCTCTGGAGTTATAAAGGGAACTTTTGTTTCATTCCGACTGGTTCAATTTTTCCAATCGTATGTTCGCCGACGCTGAGTTCAACGGCTCACAGGCAAATTGACCTGCTGCGCAGTGTCGTGTAATGCAGTATTGCAAGTTTGTAACGTATCCGATTGTTGCTTGGTCACTCCTTCTTTCACTGCTGCGATCGCTCTCATGCTCCGGTCTCCTGTTGATATACGAGATGTTACCGAGTCCGTGTGTTTGATTCCGCTTTGTTACGCTGTTTGTCCGAGATTTGAGTAGAAGTAGCAGCGACGTGGTCAGCCGTCAACCCGTTTTAGAGGAACACAGGCCCTAACTACGAGATTAGAATTGGTATCAGCAGTACGCCGGTACGCACTACGGACGTTCTGCTGCCGCGCAACGGCGCGTGGGTTAAGTATACTGCGAGAGTCGCCCGGTCTCCTACGCGTTCTCAAACTCACCACATCCGGGTTGCACTACAGGCTTGTAATCCTTTAGGCCTCGCTTGGGGCCTCCAGACTCCCGTGCCATTTGATTCCAGTGGATATAAATACGTTTGTTTGATGGTATTTTTGAATTTTTGAACGATGGGCTTCACTGCCCCTGCTCTGCGATCGCCATCTTCTTGTGCAATAATAATAAGACATTATATTTCTCTAGTTTTCGCTACCATCTAATTGAATTTTATTGCGTTACACAAACTAATACGTTTCTCATTTCTTAATAATCTGTGGCATGATGATGAGGCTTTTTACAGCTACTTTCAACCTTAGTGTTCTTTCGGTGCCGGCACGCTGCTGCATTGCAGTGCAGTGTTTGGTGTGGCCAGCCCCGAAACCCCTCCGCTTGCTCGACACTTTCTTATCCAAACTTGATAGAGATCACGTTTATGATGATCTTTTAATTCGTCGCGATAACTCTGCACCACCCTAATCACATTGGGAGGATAACTTGCTGGTCACTACACACTAAGTGGCAGCCTGCAATATGAGGTCTATGTTTCAACCACTGACCATTCATAGTTTGCCCATTTTTGGTTGATTCACACAGACTGCTCACCTGCTATTGTAGCATCTACCTGCATTTGTTTCTTTTGCAGAGGATACTACAAACAGGAAGCAAAGTTGTTCAAGCACACGCGCAAGCCGGCAACCCGTTGTGTAACGATGTATTTTTCCCACATCGCGACTTACATTCCCGCTTTTGACGTATTTGTAGTTTTGTGGTCCCATGTTATCTTGTGATAAACCCTTTTGAGATAAAAATCTGATTTTTTCTTCCGCGAAAACATTTCAACTGCAGCTGGATGAGTTAAGTTGTCAAAACGGAATATATTTATAACTTGCACTACGCACAAGCCGGTGGGTAATTCTGATATGACGTGTTACATACGCTTTAGCCCAGTTGTCTCGATCCGGCTGCTCCCAGGGCAACGGGTGCCCCTGGTAGATTTGGCCAGTGCTGGACCACCTGTCACTCCATGCTGTGCGCATGTTTGGCACATTTGCACTTAGGACGCAATGGAATGTACGATTTTCTTGTACACAATCGGCCCCCAACCTCATACCGTCAGTAATGTGCCGAATTCACTTCACTCAGAAGATTTCGATTGTCAATTATCCCGCCACTCTTGGGTCGGTCTCGTCCTTGTTCGATCTCTCCTCTTCCAAAGTATAAGTAGTAACAATGCATTCAGTTTATCGGTTGTACCGGGCTGCGTTCCAGGACATCGTGGGTTTTCGCCTGGTGAGTGTTCTCTCAATAAAAAAACCACATATGTTCGTTTAACAACACTGTGACGTGGCGGATGTGACTCGCCACTACATAAACTTACTGCCCCTTGTTTCATCGTGGCGAAACATTGTATTCCAACAACGTAATGCTGTACTTCTGGGGAGCATATGACCCCTGTTTGACAAACAGACAAACGAAAAGCGTATGAACTGAGCGAGCAGTCACCGGCTCCCAGTGGGCGCGATACCCTGAATTCGCTCCGCTGCCTTGCGGGCAGGCTATTCAGCCAAAGGCTAATTGTGATGTCCCCTAAGTCAGCAGCCTACTTCACCTTGGGCGACCGGGTAGTATCTCGCCGTCTGACGAAACCATGGACTCCGAAGTGTTATGCTTTCTTTACGATTTTTGTACCTTTTTCTGAATCCCATGGTTTCTGATGGCTCCATGTCTATACGTAGTTGGTAGTAGTAGAAGCATAGTTAGATACCCATATCCGCATGTAAGAGCGAGATAACGAGGAAACCTGAGAAACGGGACGTAAGACATAACAACACAGAATAACTGTCTGTTCGGGATGTGGGTAGAGTTTCCGGTATATATATATATATATATATATATATATATATATATATATATATGCATATATATATACGGTCTATTGGTACGGATGTCGCAAAGCTTCTTGACCACCTGGAGTTACTTATGATCTTGGATCTGCTATTATAGCTTACTGTGCAACACATGATTAGACTTCTGCACCAGTTACCAGATGAAGAAGTTGGCATTACTTCGATGCTGTTCATGATGAGGACGTCTTTTCAACCGCTGGTAGCGCCTTGGATGCGTCTGGTCACGTCCGGGGTATTTGGCGAAACACATCTACTACCGGATACTTTTTACATGCTTTCTCTTGACGATGTGTTGACAATTTTTCTTCTTGCACAAGAAGCGAAAGTATGATGCAAATAGTTTTTGCTAAAATTCACTCCAAAATGTCCGTAATATGTGCAAAATATTATTTCTTTTCATATTTGTTTCCAAATGATCAACTGTGGCGTAGTAACTACTGTGAATCATCACGTTTGCTCCGCGATCCACCGTAGACAATGTGGACTAATTGCTAGTTAGTTGAAATGAGAGACCGCTTATTCAGTTGCCGATCGAGGAGGTAACCTTACGAAACGATTGTCCGTACGCATTCTTCAAGTTCCATCAGGAAATCAGCCGAGAAGGGCGCCACGATGGGCCGCTTGGGACGCTCGCTCAAGAGCATTAGCCTTATGACAGTCTGGAGGCGGGTTGCTACTGACAGCCTGTGCTCGGTATCAACTCTGGACGAGACTAAATAACCTACTGACCATGTCTATGTAGACACACTTCGCTTCGTCGAAATACATACTTATTATTTTACTTATATGCAGTGGCGTAGCATGGCCATTTGTCTTCAGGGTGGTAACCAAATTTGCCGCCCTTTTCTCTACTATAAATTAATCTGTAAACTCTCAATATCGCGAACAACCCTTAACTACTTTGTTTCACATAAGAAATATAAACGACGAACTTTATGATATACGTAATCCACAAACGTACTTTTCGTGCTTTATTGACAGCAAAAGTATCAATAGCATTCTCAGTATTCAGTCTATCAGCGAGCTGTCACTCTATGGAAGGAATTGCCGCTTCTGAGATTCGAGTCTGCCTCACAACTGATCGAATACAGTTTTTCGTATGCATGAGCTTAAAGCACGAACGCTCACCACTGGTAATACTGATAGCTCAGGTAAACAATGCGCGTAACAAAATCACAATATTTGGTGCAGATTCCGAAAGGTGATCTTTATGGA